CCTGACCCATCCTTCAGTTCACTAATTCTCCTTTAGTTTATCTAATCTGCCCATTGAATTTTAAAATTTCTAGTAACACACTATTTATGGAAGTTCTGTTTGATTCTTTTTAAAATTGGCTTGTTTTGCTTATTATGGTGTTTTATTTCCTTGTTTGTTGTGAATGTGCGAGGGAGTGTGTTTATGTGTGTGTGAGCTGCTCATTTTTCTCAGATCTGTATCTATGGAAAATCAGGGAGGTCTACGATAAAGTTGGTTTTCTCCAGAAAAGATTGCATTTACTCCTGTCATTTGCTGAGAGCCACTTCCAGTTCTTGCCCCCTTAAAATAAATTCTGGGCTTGAGGTCTTTGAGAACAACCTAGTAATATTTTAAGTCATAATTACACAGGTAAGGGCTGGCTTGTGGCTTTGAATTCTCAGGGGAGATATTTTTCTTCTCTCTCTCCAATGCTGTGGCTCAGGGCAGCCTTTGGTTTTTTTTTTTTTTTTCCCCCTTACTTTTTCTTTTAAACAGTCTTTTTGGAATACAGCAACTGATTTTCAGTTTACTTTTATGCTGAGTAAGGGTATGCTGAGTCTAGGGTCTCCAGACTCCCACCTTAGGTGGATCAGTGTTCTTTGTCTCCATTCCCAGAGGTCTGCAAAGCCAAAAAATTGATAATTGAATTTTTGCAGTTTGGCAAATGCCTTCAAGGTGAAAATCAGCTTTAGTGAGCTCAGTTGAATTTTGCCTGTTCCTGTCTTCATTTAACTTTTGTCCTGAATATTCCTGGCTTTCTTACCACTTTATGAATGCGTTTAATAGAGTGTTTTAAAATGTTTTATCCCTTGTTTTTTATTGTTTTCATCCAGAGGGTTAGTAAAGGTTCCTAGTCTACCATGTTACTAGAAATAGGAGAGACTCTATTTTTTATTTTTATTTTTCTATTCCCTCTTAGATTTTATTGTTCTTGAGAGGAGTGACCTTGCCTTGGCCTTCCTGGGCCTTCTCTATAGTACGGTGCTTGTTGTTCAATGGACACTCAGTTGCGTAGGTAGATGTGTAACTAGAAAACACTTTGAGAGTTTCCATTTTACATATTTCATATCTATTATATTTTAAAAATCTTTCCAATATTAAGGTAGGTATATTTTTATTACCTCTATTTTACAGATCAGTAAAATAAGACATAGAGGAAGAATCTAGACACAAATCTGGTAATTAGTAGGGCTAGGATTTAAATTCATGACCTCTAACTCATAATTCTGTGTCTTTTCCACTATGCCATCTTTCTTTCTAATTAATGTTGTTGACATTTGACATCTGATTATTTTATCTAGATATGAAAGTTCTAGAGAAACCACTGGATTAATAACATATAGATGAAATTATCTCAAAATCCTCACCTAAAAGAAATTTTTAGCTGAGTATTCACTTTGCTTAAACTTTCATCAGTGCCTTAAAACAATACATGGCTTTCTGTTACAGGAAGTGGAAAAAAAGGAAAGAATTGTTCTTTTTTGCTGTTGCAGCATTGTTAAATACTTTTGTTGTAAAAATAGGTAATTTTTGTCTTTTCCAACAGGTGTGTATGTAATATAGATTGCAGTGGATACAGTTTTAATCCTGTGTGTGCTTCTGATGGGAGTTCCTATAACAATCCCTGTTTTGTTCGAGAAGCATCTTGTATAAAGCAAGAACAAATTGATATAAGGCATCTTGGCCACTGCACAGGTAAAATCCATTCTACTCATCCAGAGACCTGTCTTTAATGTTATAAGTTTATAATCTTATTTGTGTATTTTGGTTAGTATTCCAAATTTGTAAAATGAGAAAACTTTGAAGCTTCATTTTCTTTTATTACTTTATATTTCAGAATTTCTTTTGTTACTGATTTAGATTTTTTGTTTGTTTATTTTCATCTTCTCAAGACATAAACCCTGGTTCTTGGTTGTTTATTTTTAGTTATTAAGCTGATCCTAACATGAAATTGTAGGTATATTTACAGTTCTAAGGTGATCTCAAATTTGTGATGATTTTAGCTATTTAAGAGTTAACTTGGCCGGGCGCGGTGTCTCACGCCTGTAATCCTAGCTCTCTGGGAGGCCGAGGCAGGCGGATTGTTTGAGCTCAGGAGTTGGAGACCAGCCTGAGCAAGAGCGA